ATAGCTGTACCCCAGCAGGCAATACTACGAGTGACAGTCAATCTCAACATCGGCGGTAATGGATCTTGATGAGCTGAAGGATGAATTCGGACAACGATTCAATTGTTCTGCAAAATATATTGTTCGTTGCCCAGGAAGAGTTAATTTAATTGGTATTTTGTCTTTTTCAAAAAAATTTACTCTTTTAAAATTTCATATTATTTTTTCTTTAAGTATTTATTTCTTAAAAAAAAGTTTAGTGTAGTTTTTTAATATGCTAAAATAAGATGAAATATTTAAAAAAATTAACAAATTGTTTTGCATTATTAAATTTGAGAAAGTTTGAAAACTTTTGATGAGTAATTAAATATTCGAAATATACTGAAGTAATATTTGAAACGGTACTTATTTTTCATGCATAAACTTACTATCATAAAAAATAAATTGTTTAATTATGGTACCAAATTTGCATAATTATTTATGATTTAACAACTGTTGGAAGCGCTAAAATATTGATAAAAAATATAATGATGTAGCAAATATTATATTTTTCAGGCGAACATATTGATTACAGTGGCTATGGTGTATTGCCAATGGCAATTAACGCTTCAACATATATCTTAGCTTCACTTCACGATGCTAATGAAATTGTCTTTCAAAATATCAATACGGCATTCAAGTAAAGTTCACTGTTGTAGTAGGCTTTCAAACAAAGTTTTATTATTGAAGGAGACTTTCAAGTAAAATTGCATTGCTATAGTGCTGAACTACTGAGCTACGAAAAATTTATTTTTATCCTGACTTAAATGAGAATTTATTTTTAAAAATTTTGAATACTTGTAAAATTAGTTAAATGTAATCCTTAAAGGGCGCACACATACAAATTTTGCGATGATTGGATGGGTAGTGAGAAACCTGAATGGTTTCATTATTTTTTATGTGGTTGGAAAGGTATATTAAGGCGTTTGAATGTGCCACCGAAAGGCATGAATGTATTAGTTCATGGTAGGTTATAATGTATTATTCGGAAAATTTTACCAATAGTACCAGAATATCTTATTCATAAAGCAGTAATGATTAAATTTAACAGCCTTTTAATTTGAAACAGCTCAATATTACAGTGAAATCTTTGGAATTCGATTATGCCACACTTTTCGTCCTACCTTTATGCAGTTCTCATAGATTGCAGAGTTCAAGTTTCATAAGTGTGAAGTTGCAGGTACTATACCAACAGGTGCTGGTCTTTCTAGTTCCAGTTCTGTGGTATGCGCTGCAGCACTTGTAACACTTGCACTGCATTCTGGGCAAGCTTTTGATGTTATCAATAAGGTAGAATTATAATTTGTGCATAAATTTTCATTCCAGTCATACTTTTGATTCAGTTCCGTCCAATCTGAGATAGAGTGTAGTGAAATTCTTAGTTAATCAATATGTGATCGATTGCTTGACATGATATATTGTTTCATTCATTTGTTGAATAATCTAATTAATGCACTTTCTCTCCAAGATATTTTCCATCATATTGCTTTTTGAATTTCATTATGAATTCATAAATGTGAATTTCAGACAGAATTTGCTGAATTGTGTGCTGAAGTGGAGCGATATGTTGGTATGGAAGGTGGCGGTATGGATCAAGCAATCGAGGTTTTAGCTAAGGAAGGTTCTGCGATGCTTATTAATTTCAATCCGCTAAGATTTTTACCAGTTACACTTCCCGAAAGTGCTCTTTTTGCTGTGATTCATTCCGGAGAAGCGCTTAATAAAGCAGCCAATTCTCAATACAATGAACGTGTTGTGGAGTGTCGTCTAGCAGCTCAGGTTTACGATTGATTCTTCAAATTCAAATTTTAAATAAGTTTAAAATTTTTATCAGGATGTCTTAATCGATACAGATTAATGATTTTTGATTTTCCATAACAATTGTGATGTTTCGATTTGCTTAAAATTTACTTGGAAGAATATGCAATATGGTTGACTTCTTCAGATTATAGCAAAAGTCTGTGAATTAAAATACTGGAAAGAAATCCGGACATTAGGTGATGTTGCACAACGATTGCGAAAGACTGCCCAGGAAATGATTGCTATAGTAGAAGAAGTTTTACCCAGTCGTGTTTACACTAAGGATAATGCACTCAGCTTGTTAGGTATATCGAATGAAAATTTCAACGAAACAATCCTTTCGGCGAACACTCAACATAGTTAGTTTTCTAATTTAGAACGCTAACTTTCACAAAATTGATGCATGCTTTGCTTATTTAATAAACCGAAGATCTTCATAAGATGATGGTCTAAAGAGAAGTTAAAATAAAATATTAACAAATTGAGGATTGGTTATGTTATTGATCATATCTTAACAGAAGGGGTTGAGTTTCTAATGATTCACCTCGCATAATTACCCAAATTTTAAATTAACATTGATTTGGCGTTTTACTCGATGATAGCTCCTCAGTCGGTCAGTTATTGTTTGATGAAGAAGAATGATATGCCTACTACTAACATTCTTAACTGCTTGATTTAGTACTGCATGATAAATGTTGCAAGGCACTTATTTTTTGGTTTAATAGGAAATGAACTAGTGAATTAATTGGGAAGTGAAAACATCATAAACTGCAATATCTTTAAAATTTTTTAGTAATTTTATATTCCTGCCACTGATATATTATTTTTTATATTTGCTGTAAATTGTATTACTATTATTTTGTTAATATTTTAGGGTACTGAATTCATAATGATTCAGTTAATAATTAAAGTAAATACAATATCAAGCCATTAGCATCTTTATGTTGTAACCATGTATACAACATATTAAAAATATTTACCAAAAAAATAATATGTTTTATGTGTTTTTTCTTATATTTGTTTGAAATAGCTGTAATCTCATATCGGCAATATTCGTTATATAAGCAGTTCAATTTTTTTTCGTCATCCCTAAAAGGAATCTGATCGCAATTGTAATAATTGTCGATAAGGAAATGACTTATTTATTGTACTAACTGAGGAAAAATTAATTAAGGACTACATATCTGTTGTATGTAATTTTCGGAAATCATATCCAATCGATTTGAAGCATTTTATTGAAGTTCATTTGAATTTTTGCAGTGAAAACATTTAAATTGGCACAAAGGGCAAAACATGTCTATATGGAAGCTAATCGAGTTCGTTTATTTCATGAAGCATGTAAAAGTGGTAATGTGAAAGAGATGGGAAAATTGATGAATGATAGCCATACTAGCTGTAAGGAACTATTCGAGTGTTCCTGTGATAAACTGGATAAAGTGGTCAATTTTTTTTCATATTTTAAGCAGCTTCTAATTAATTAAAAGAGTCTAATCAAAATATTGCTGAAATGCATATTGTCACTCATTAATGATATATGGCTGATGTAATACTCTAAATATCATGCATTTTAATTGAATTAATAAGTATTGTTTGCAGTACGTACTGTGACATCATCATTTTTTTCCTTTCTTTTTTTTAGGTCGAAAACTGTTTGCGAAATGGTGCATTGGGTGCACGACTTACTGGAGCTGGTTGGGGCGGTTGTGCTGTTGCTCTTTTTGACACCAAACAACGTGATTTGGAAGTGTTGTTTTGGAGTCGGCCTGCTGGTGGTATACAGCTAATAAAATGCTAATGCAAATTGCAATTCAAAATCATCATTACCTTGCATACCTGTTCTTTTTTGATTTGATTTTTCATGCTATTTATCGTGAAGCAATATTCCCCTTCATATGCAAATGGAAGTTATCTCAATTATCTTTGTATGCTGTTGTGTAATATTAAATGAAAAAAATTAATTTTACTTATATTCAGAATCATTCCTTTTTAGTGAAATTAATTTTACTTATATCCAAAATCATTCCTTTTTAGTGTAATCCAAATAATTAGGTCACGTTAATATTTAGTTGACAAAGCATTTAGATGAGGTTTTGGCAAATTAAATATTAAATTTATTTCATATAATGCATATTTAATAGTTACACATAACTTCTACTTCATAATAAGATGATTTTATAGTACATTCATGTTAATGCGAAATTTTTTGCTACATCATAATTTGTACTTTAGATCAAGCATTCTCTTAGTAATGTTTCACTTGTATACAAAATATTTTAGTCTAAATATTAAAAAAAAGCCTTTTTTATTGAAAAGTCTGTAGAAGTTTAAAATTAGCAGGCGCAATATTATTTCACTTATAAATTTCTTATTCATTCCATAAATATCATTTTATTGATCTATTATTTATTTAATCACTTATACGAATCTTTTATCAATTTATTTCACTTATGTATTTTTTTTTCATTTCATTTCTTTAGTTTCTTACTGAAAGCTTAAAATTTTTTCTTTATGATATCAGTTACGGTATGTATCATCAAAACCGGTTGATATTGGTATAATTTACCATTTCAGAGGTCTTTTTCAAATTTTTACGGTTTCTTTTTCCCACTCCATTTCTCTTTTCATCCCTACAATGTTTACAGTTTTCTTTTTTTTGTATGTTACAATTAAATGAAGAAATTTGATTTTACATTGTCATTTAAAAAAAGAAAACAGTAATTTAATGGTACACCTCAATATAAAAATGATTGGAATAATAACGAAACAATTTTGATTCATCAAATATGAAAAATAATAAAATGATACTTCGTAAATTTTGACTATTTTAATGGAACTTTCATCATTCTTTTTTTTTGCTCTGCTACTTTATCATTCCATTCGTTTCGAAATTAAAATTTTTTTCAAAATTAAAATTTAAAAATTTTCTATTACTAGTATTTCGGCCAAAATGTAATTAAAGGCTACTATTGTTGACTTGATACGGTATAATTAAATTTTGAGGAAAAAAAGCTGTATTTTTAGCAATAAAAATTGAAACGGTAATTGGAATTGTGAAACTTAATAAATATGATTATTGGTAATGATAAGAAAACAATTCTGTTAGATATTATTAGTTTTGCCGTTTCAATTTCAATTTTTTGTTTTATATTTTCCAGAACGGACTCGATTTCCAACCAATTGTTTTGTGTTTTCTGTTAATGTTAATTTCTATTTGTTTTCATTTTTATAGGAAACTTTTTTTTTTATCTTTTTACCACTCGATATTTTTTGGAGAAAAAGCGGAACAGTATTTTAAGCAGATATTTGTTTCAGGCATATCAAATAAGCTAATAATTTTCGCCTCCATCATCAGTGAGTAAAAAAATTTTAATGAGTGTAAAGATGCTTACGATCAATATAAATGAGTATAAAATGCTGAAAATAAAACTTAGCAGCCAAATTTAAACAAGTATCAAATAGAAAATATTGATACTTTATATGAGAGTAGTTTTTTTTGAATATTGTAAAATCGTGACATTAATCCATTTCACTAACAAAATCTTTGAAATATGAAAGTGTAATTTTGAAGCAAAAATCCGAATAAGGATGAGAAGAAAAAGCGCTAAATGAAGCAAAATTAATTTCATTGAAATGATAAATAAGCAGAAAATTTTTTCAACTTTTTTCTTATGATAGAAAAAATTAAGAATTTAGCCAAATGCTTCCTCATTTTTTCCTATAGAGATGATGATCGGATGATTTATCGTTGTCATTTTAAAATGCATTGCCCTTAAAATTGCAATTCATATTTTACCATCCACAAAAGCATACTGTAAGATAAAACTTAATCGACAAATAATTTTGAAATAAATAACTGAAATTATAATTTTGGTTTCTTTTTTAAAATAATATCCAAACAGGAGTATATTGTCCCCTCTTATCTCTCTTCCAATGTATCCTTCAGGAATATTTTATTAATTACAATCATTTAACATTTAATATATTACTGTTCTTAAAACAATAATATAGTCGCAGAAGCTACGGTTAGAGGAAATATTAACTTAATGGGAAATATAACTTATAGTTTTTTTTTTTTGTTTTGCCCACCCGCTTTTAATTTTATTTTATATAGCTCCTTATTTATTTAATCTGCTATATTGACAGATAAAATCTAATGAAAACTATAATTCCCAGTAATTGATTTATAAGTATTTGAATTTTTCCAGCAATGATATATCACAAGTTTTGTTCATCTATTATTTATGTTTAAAATAAATTGAAATTTATTTAATCACACTGAATGATTTAGATTGCTAGCAAAATTACTGTAAAAATACAAGCAATTTATTCTACTCATTAAAAAAGAAAATTACGAAATCAAAAATGCTTTTAAAAATCATAATCAATATTCATTTTTATCATTTTCATAATCATTTTAATAATTATAATCATTCTAATAATTCTAATAATTTTCATAATCATTCTAATAATCATTCCAAAAATCATAATCATTCTAATCTTTCCATTCATTTGCATTTGCTTTTTTTGAGTTAAAATAAAATGATTAAAAATGAGTTAATTATTATTGTGAAAGATAATTAAAAGCGTGCCTCAATGATATCATCATGGTCGAGATCATCGGATGATGATAAATCATTCGCTGATATATTACTCTGATCGATCGCTCTATTAGAATCAGTGCATGCATTTGTGATATTACTTGATTTCATTTCTTCCTTATTAATAAAGGTTACATCACACCAACCACAATGTTGCAAGACAAGATTGATTTCGTTCATTATTACCATTAACTGAAACATTAAAATGTTATTTTAAAATCATTTAAATTTATTAACAGAACATTTAACTTTAATTTTTTTCATAATTCATATATATGCATTGGAATATTCGATTTCTTGCTTTATTCTAATGATGCGGAAATTATGCGAAATAATTTTATAATTAAAGAAAAACAAAGAGAAAAGGAGAAAGAGGAAAAGATGAAAAGAAACTGATGGAAAGAAAAAGTAATAGGAAGAAATTATTTGATTTAAAGAGAAAAACTGCTATTTTCATTAAATTAGTAATATTATGCTCTTTTTTTCTTAAAAAATTTCATTTTTAATTTTTCTTTGCATTATTCTTTTGCTATATTTAAATTTACTGCATAAGCGAACAATGATAATTTCAATGAATATGCGATGCAATTAATTCCTTTTTTTATTCAAAGATTGAATAATAATTTTAATTCTTTTCTAACATTCAAATATTTTTTCTCAATTTTTATATTTTTAATTTAAAACTTAAAAATACACTAACATTTTTTCCCTCATTTTCATTTTTTGATTTATTTTGCACGATTGCATCAAATTCATCTTTTGCTTCATTATAGATAAGCCTTAATAATTCGATACCTTCTTCGATTACCAATGATATTTTATTCAATTCTAAATTGAACGCACTATATCATATTGTTACAGTATCGATATTACAATAGCAATTATTTGACAAAATCAAGAATAATATTTCCTCGTTTCAAGCATGTTGTAATAATGATAAAATTAAATGATTTCAGTTATTATCATTTATCATTTACGTATTACTGATATAATATTGATAATTTGAAAAACGATAAATGATAACATATTATCTTTCATATTGGAAAAGCTTTCAGAAATGTAAATGTTACAGAAAATGTAAGTAGCATTTGCTAATTAAAATATTCACTTAATTGCATATGTTACTTTTTAATAAAAAGCTGTTAGTAATTTTTGTGATTAATGTTAGAATTCACTTTAAGCTCAATTTTACAAACAAAATATCATTCATCATTTATGTTTCACTTTTGTTCATTATGTATATACAGTTTAATGTTAGGAAAAAAATAAATTTAATTCGAAATTTTGTAAAAAAAAATAACAGATAATTACAAGTTAAAATCATTTTTGATACTGATAATATTTAGCAAATCACATCTTTAAAAAAAAGATACCAGAAAAATTGCGCAAATAATCACTAATCATTGAGCATAAACCATCGATGCGTTGCTTCAATTTGGCCGCTGAAAATGTTGCCATACATTGGGCAGCAATCTAAATTTTATTTTAATTTACATTTTAGTGATTTAAATTTGATTTAAAATTTATATTTCAAATATTTATAGATATATCACCTCATATGCTTCGATCAAACTAACAATCAACAATTCCGATATTCGCATTCGTTCATTAACACACCGTGTAAGTTTCAATCTTTCCTGCAAACATTCACTTCGCCAATCAATTTGACAAAGTAATGCTTCATTCGATGAGTCATCCAATGTTGTACTTTCTGAAATTTAAAACTTTTTTCATTTGCTTACTTGCTTTTTTCAATATCATTCTCGTTTTTTTTTATTCTGAAAAAAGAAAGAATTAATTCTTAAATTTGATTATTTTGATTTTAAGTCAATCAATAGTATCTTAATTTTTTGTTTATTTTTGCTTTTTTTCAGTTTTAAACTATATTTCATTTTGATTCGATTATTCCTTTAATAAAAGTTAATTATTAACTCAATTCTTGCTTCGGTCATTTCTGCCTCCTCTTCTCTTCCTTTTTCTTTTTTTTCTTTTGTCAGACTTCCTATCTTCTTCATTTTTTTTCGAATTTCTTTTTCAGAATTTCACCTTTTAAGTGTAATATCAATCCTTTTGTACTTTTAAATTATACTTCACCGTAAAAATTTTTAAAATTTCTTTATATTTTTAACAAAAAAATGGTATTTGCATGCATTTGTTAAATGCATTTTTAGAAATTTTATTTAAATATTTTCTACATCATTACTGTTAAAATATTTTATTATCACCAAAAGATAATTATTATTCCTCTTTTAGAATGCAAAGAATGCAAAAATAAAAGAGAGACAAAAATAGAGAGCGAGAGAAGGAGAAAAAAAAACTAAAAATTATTTGACGATTGAAATACACAGCTATTATTTAATAATTTTGTTAAATTTTCTAAAAATTTTACCTGTGATTATTATTGAAATAATATTTATGATAGCTTTAATTATTATAAAATACCAAATATACCAATTCAATTATCAATTTAACTATTAATATTTAATCATTGCAATTTCATCACAACTAATCTTCTATTTTTATCCACAAAAAAAAAGTTAAAATGAAATAAAATAAAAGAAAAGAATGACTTGAAAATCACCAACAAATAACCTCCACCATTCACATAATTTTAATCGATCGGTATTTGATGCCGCACTTTGAATAACTTTTTTATATGATTTATGGCAAAGGTCCATGAGAACTCTGTAAGAAATAATTATTCAAAATCATTGCATCTTTTTGGTATTGCTATGTTAAAAAAGGAAAAATTTTGATTGAATTTATTTGAAGAGATAAATGCATTTAATAAATTAAAAATGAAATACTTTGATATTATAAGAGCTGATAAAGTAAATAAAATTTTGAAAATATTATTCTTTTCATCAAATATCGAAATGAAACATTTATCCGTTAGCAAATAATTATTAGGACGAAACGAAAAAGGTGAAATAATTCCTATTTTCCCATCTCTCTCTCTCGCTCTCGCTCTCGCTCTCTTTAATTTAAGGATAATCGGCGATAATGCAAGAAGA